TGTGTGTGTGTGTGTGTGTGTGTGTGTGTGTGTGTGTGTGTGTAATAGATGCCTCTAGGATAAGGAATAAAGATTTATATAAAGAAAAGTAATGTCCCTTGGGTTCGTTTACGTGTCTCATACATTAGATAGAAAAATAAAGGAAACATTTGTCTTAGATGGTGGTGTATGGTTCCCAATATAAAACTAAAAACTAAGTTTTCGTATTCTTACGATTCATCATTATTAAACGTTATACGAAATTTAACAAACTTTATTCAACTTTTTTGATATAGAATTGAAACTTTTGCGCAAAGATTAAGAAAGAAGATTGAGTTTCAAATAGACCAATATATTAAACTGTTGTTTTTTTTATTTATAACAAATGGGTTCAATGTTATTTATCCTGCAAATATATTATGTAAGTTGATACAAGGAAAAAGCATTAAACTTATTCATTTATCTTTGCTGCTCGCTAATCAATGACTTTAATTTATTGTTATTTTTATCCGAGATACGTTTCAATCGACATAACTTAGAGAAAAAAAATCAAATTACAAAAAGAAAAAAATTACTTACCTAAGGATCACAACGATGCCGTCGAAAACGTTGAAACCGTTGCTGATGTAGCCAAACGGACCCTCAGCTATTACCTTAAGTAGCATCTCAACGGCAAAGATGGCAGAGAAAACGATGTTGCTTATCTCGACGAGCACGGTCAATTGCTCCGGCTATAAATCGTTCGAAAGAAGTGAAAAAACGTGATGAAGAAAATGAATGAAAAATTTTCAACGAGTTTAAAGCAAAGGAAAAAATAAAAAAAAGAATTGTTAGGAGTAAGAAGTAGATATATTTCAATACGAAACTAGAAAATCTTAATGATTATCTGAAAGATAAGATTTGCTCTTTAGAGTGGTAAATGTGGAAGATGCAAACAAGGCATATCATCTGTTGAAAAGTTGAGTTTGAAAATAAAAAGCTAGGAAAATGCTATAACTGATCTTAAACGATTATTATACCCGTATTTTCCAACAAGATAATCTCTTATTTATCTTTGTATTAACTTTCTAGGAATATATTTCCTAACAAAATAACCACACACCGTTTAGGTTCGATTTCAAAACGTCTGATACGCGACAAAAGGAGAAACCCGGTTAATTATCACCCGGATTACGTTGTTGTTGTCGTGTTTAATGAAATAACGAGAATTAAAAAAGGAAGAAAAATAAGGTAGTACAAGTTGATCGATTAAATCGAAGAACGTTTCCAAGTTAATCATAGATGCCACACCGTCGTTCCAAATCCGAGTGAAGTGAATCCAATTGGTTCTTAATTACACTACCACGTAATACGGTCGTTGTGTGTTCGTAATATTGGTGCGGATTGAACTATCGTACAATTTTTAATAGAAATAAACGATTACTGAACCAAATGGAAACTAATTAATCATTGCTTTCATCCAATCTCGTAAATAAATCAAAGAAAAGTGTAAGGAATGAAAAATATGATAAATATAAATTAGTGAAAAAAAAATAAACGTATTGACTCTCACCTGATTGTGATACTCGATACCCATGCTCAATGTATTTATGAGAATTGCCAATAGTATACCCTGTTGAAAATACTTGTGTTCTACGAGTTTCTTGATCCAACGTCTTATGCAACGTAATCCGCAGATGCAACGATTTCCGATAGTTCTGAAGAATCTACGTGTTCTCGAGGATTTTCGCCATCTTTCACCGTTATCCGGCCACTGATCGAGACCACTTTGGGCGTCGCAGCAACAAGAACAATTTTCCAAATCGGAAGACAACCATTGTGAACGATCCTCCAAAATAATATGTCGTTCTGTAATACCTGTTTCAATTACGATATATTTATCAGACAGAAGTATCAAGGATTAGGATCCTTAAGCTATCTCAAAATCTCGATTATCCAAATTAATTTTTTAATATCTTTTATTATTGAATCTTATTGACAAACATATTTGTCACTTACCTTTGGTAAGGGAATTTAAAAAAGAATCTAATGCCAATTGACCGGTTGGCAAGGCAGCGCTGAGTGCTCCACTGAGTGCCAGTAATTCTTGACACGTCATTGCTTCATTCGTACCCAAGTCAAGTTGCATCTGTGACAAACGGAAATGGAAAAAATTCGTCACAGGTTATTACAATTCTACTTGGATTTAAAAAATATTTTAACTTAATTGGAATCCAATAATAATAAGCACGATTGAGAAATGGATCTAAAACTACATGATAATTTAATCAAAATAAAACAAGATAAGAATAAAATAATATACATTTTACAACAATACGATAAGTCTAATCGAAGAAGAAAAAAATATAGAAAAAGAAAAAAAAAAGCAATCCAATTTTAAGAATAAAATATTTGATAAATCTATGTGTATGTATAGTTTTGCAAAATAGAAAATAATAATAAGAGAATACCTGTGTATGGTCGGACAGCGGGCTAGACCAAACATTGCCGTCACCGGTTTGCGTCATTTTTTCACTCGAACAAACGTTACGCTCAGTAGGAGCGACCGTGGGACCAGATTGCATCGTGTTCCCAACGCTATTGCTACCGTGTAGCAAAACCACGTCGCTGAACATAACGCTGCTCCTTCGTCGGTAGTGAGTACACGGTGGGCTCAGCAACGCGTTATTCGTCTAATTCGCGTGAGAAATAGACCAAATGAATCCTTTACAATACTTATCCTTAACTCCTTATTATTCTCTCCCCCATTCCCCTCGCAGTTCATTCTTTTCACCAAAGTTCAAGTATTCGTTTTAAATAATTCATGGTAAATCTCTCTTTACTCAATCCTTTTTACGTTGTCTCTTCAAATTTTAAATCAATAAACGACATTAAATATGTAAAGAAAACTCGTCAAGTCTCTTTCTCTCTCTCTTTCCCTCTCACTCTCTTTCTCGGTAAAAGTTAGGTAGAAACGTGTCGAGCTTATTCAAATATTCTAATTACGTTTTCAAGGCTAACAAACTAGAATCATGGAAACGTCTTTTATTCGTATTTCAATCCTAGCTGCTTGAATTTCATTACGAAACGTATACGAAAATGATTAACAATTTGTTAGTATAGTATAGACGAGTTATCTTCAAATAAATTTCGTATAATAAAAAGCATTGGATTCCACATAAAAAAAGAAAAAGAAAAAAAGAAACAAGAAGCGCAGCAACTAGTTTAAAATTCGTTAAAACATAAATATAATAATAAAACAATATTCACGTTTGAGAGCTACGTTTTGATCTGCGTGATGTAAAAAAAAAAATAAAAAGAAAGAAAACACAACTAAAGAAAGAGAAAATATAAATATATCGAGGCGATGGGGAGAAAACAAGAAGGGGTTAAAGGTAAAATAATGTAGTAATACAAATGTGGGGGTTAGGTACTCACGTCGGTAGCATTTGAAATGATATTGTCGCTGCCGTTACAGGAAACTGAAGCTGCACGATATAATCCCGGCCGATTGTACGAATTGCTTGACATTTCAGCCTCGGAAACTTCAGGACTCGCTCGTGGTGCGATACCCATGTTTCCATTACCAGCCCCATTGCTGGAAACGCCAGTGGTAATTCCAGGCTGTGATGCTGGTACATTCGTAGCAAACTCTCCAATAGACCCACTACCACATATACCGGGTGATTGCTGTTGCTGTTGCTGTTGTTGTTGCTGTTGTTGCTGTTGTTGCTGTTGTTGTTGTTGTTGTTCCGCGTACTCTAACGCTGCTAACAGTCTAGGGCATCTTCCGTGATGAATTTTTTTGTCTAAAAGTTGTAAGAGAACAAACGAGGTCGTTCAGTGTTGATAAAAGAACAAAATGAGAGAGAGAATATCACGATAAAAACTAGCAGAGATTACTGTTAAATCTCAATGATATTATTATAGATTTATCGATTATTCCAAATGACAGTAAAATGAAAAAAAAGAACAAAAAGAAAGAAACCAAAGGTAGATAAAGAGTAAGCTTTGATTAAACGAATTTCTTGTTAGTCGAATAAAAGAGTATAAGCCGGCCTAATTAAAGTATCCTTGAAAAGTAGCTAGGCGCAATAAAGCTACTGCTTTAAACGCTTAATAATTCTAACGACGCCGGGCCCCCTGGCCCGGCTTTATTATTCGAAACATTTACACGAGCCCTAAACCAGAGAACCGACGTTTTATCCAAATTCTACTCATACCTACCACCACCATTCCTACCATTTCCAATTCAATATAAATTCAAATAAGCGAATATTTCGAAACTGTATAATCCGATTATCCCCCACCCTCATCCCCTCCCACTGTATTTATTCCTACCTTTTTTCTTCCTGAGGCTAATCAAAATGACGTTTTATTATTTTCTTTATCTTTACCCCCTCCTCCCTACCAAACTAAATGCGGATTAATATTGAAAACATTGAGATTATGATCAGATATTCAATATTTTTATTTTACCTGTATAAATTTATGGATAAAATGCTGATATATGTATATGTATATATAATATATAATATTCTCTAATGAAAGATAGATAAATAGAGGTACAGATAGAGAGAGTGAGAGAGAGAGAAAGACAATAGGGTAAACGATCGATAAGAAACACTCACCACCGACTGCTGTTCTGTTTGAGCCTGCTCCACTGGGAGCCGACCGGAACGGCTGACCTTGTTGTTGTTCCTTAAGCAAATTTTGCTCACGTTTCTGTTGCCTTCTGTACTTCCATAATCTGTACCTCTTCATCAGTCTTCTTTTACCTCTTCTCCAAAGATGCGCAATGTATCTGATAACCCAAGAAGATTTGACTTTCTTTTTCTGATTAAATATTTTTTTCTTCTTTTATTTTCTATTCTTTTTGTTCTCTATCCTTTCTTTTCTTTTTCTTATTGAATTCCCACGAGGTCGAGACGTAATCAACATAAACGAACATTAAAATAAAGATTTTATATTACGATACGTGATTTTAAAATAAACTTGTACCATAATTTTGGTCAATGTGACACGGAAAGAATTATTTTGTAGATTTTTGAAGATAATCGATAGAATAATGAATTATCTAAGACGGTATACATTATTCGTATTAAAAAAATGAAATTAAATTGATTTTGGATTTTATTTTTACGTGATTCGTAAAAAATATATTAAAAAAGTAGTTGGAAACGATATAAGTATCAAAGTGATCGTATGTTTGAGTAAAGTTAAAATAATGATTATTACACGGGTGACCTCTTTTATACGAGAGAGAAACTCGTTTTATTCTTTTTTTTCCAAATGTTTGAAACGTTTAGTAGGAAATAAAAAAGGAATAAGAGAAGAAGTTTAGTCGTTCGTGTATGTGTGTGTATGTGTCTATGTATGTATGTGTTGACGTAAAACGCTTACTTGACAATTTCGGCGTAACAGGTAGTTGGTTCGGATGTATTCGTAGACGATGCCAGAGTTGAAGTCGAATGAAACCGAGCGCGTTCTAATCTCATTCTTTCCATCTCCCGTTTCTTCGTCTCGGAAAATTGCGTTGCTATCACGACCAGGCAAAGATTGATCATAAAAAAGGAGCCGATCTAAAGGAATAATCACAATAAAGTGATTTTTAAATAACTAAATCAAATATCGTTAAGTCAATGCATAATAAATAAATAAATAAATAATAATATTGTTTATATATTCGATTTAATAATAACAAATAAAATTTTATTTTTTGATTTTCTCTAATAAAAAATTTTAAACTACTCCTTTGCTCTATATTATATATATTTTTATATGTATTATTAATATGTATTATATTTTTATATGTATTATTAATAAACATATATATATTTGTCTATAATTAGACAAATAATTAATAATGTTGATTTTCTCTGTCAACTCTGATAGAATTATTTTTTATTTTAATGTCTCATATAATAATTCACATAATTATAATTTTATTATTGTTTTATATATTTCTTTTCAAATATAATACATAGTTTCTAATATATGTGCATCTTTTCTGAAAGAAACTATTTGATATTAATTTTTGTTCTTCTAGAAGTTCTAAAGAAAAGTAGTTTCATGGAATCAGATATGACTTCATAGTGCAAAGGATTAAAACTATCTTATTCATTCATTCTTTTCATTCGTTCAAGTATTAATAAAAATTCACCTAAACGTCTTAAATAAATAAATAAATAAATAAATAAATGTATGAACGAATGAATAAAAATACAAACGATCTCAAAGTGTAATATAATAAATAATATTTAAAAAGTGACATCAAAGGAATATGTACTTACAACGATCAAAAGAACAAAATATATCCAATCCCAAAAAGAATGAGCATCCTGGACGTAGTACATAATATCCGTCCATCCTTCCAGACTGATCACCTGCGATAGGCTCTGTTTGTTATCATCTACCAACCTGTCAATCCTTACTTCTCGCAATGATTGTTATCGAAGGATACGCGATTAAATAATCTCTTTGAGATATTATATTTCTATGTCCTACTATTTTAGTGTTTTTTTTATTATCCAATATTCGTATCGTTACGATTATCGTTGTTACTAATTGTAAGAATAACGATAAACATTATGAACGGTAGAATAATCATAATAATAATAATAACAATAATAATAATAATAATAATGCATCGACATTTACGTACTAATCCCAGTACGATATTCATTAGATTAAAATGAATGATGCCACTCACGAGAAATATGGCAACCCAGGCCAAGCCAATATTATCGAACGAAATAGTCCCTTGGAAAGGATTATTGCCCTGACCCTTGCACTCGGTATAATAGTAATTCCAGTTAACGCAGGTCTCGTTGCTGATAATCGTCGCATTGTTGTTCGGTAATGCTGTACTATTGCAGACCAGATTTCCTGAAAATTAATACTAGAGTTCTAACGATGCGTGAACGACGACAGATCATAGGTGCATCCGATATCAACATATTTTCTGTATAACGACTGTACCAGGAGGAATATAAATTGCTTTCCAAGTGGCGATCGCTAGATTGCCCATTTGAAAGAGGGGAGAGGAGGGAAAAAAAAACAGAAAAAAAACCTTCCATCCCAATTTCCGAGTGAACAAAATTTCAATCAGTTTTAGGATATACGATTCGCGTAATAAATATATTTTTACCGTACGAATAATTAATTAATTATAACTAACTAAAATTAAAGATTTTAATGACTATCATAGAAAAATAATAAAAAATAAAAGGATTATTATTATAATTAGTTAAAGCAAAAATGGTTGAAATTCCAATAGTGGAATTGTTGCATAATACACGATATTATTGATTGTAACAGATAGTAAAGGGAAAAAAAGAAAAGAAAAAAAGTCTAGTAAAATGTGTCGAGAGTGTAAAATACTTGCCGAACTTTAGTGGCGGCAAGTTGCTGCAAGAGTGCATACCGCTGTCGTCGGGACGTGAACAAATGTAGTCCTGACCCTGATACTCGAAGTACTTCTCCAGGTCGCTAGAAAATCAAGGAGGATAGAGGAATTAAATCGATCGACTTGAACCCACCACTAGCCACACATATTTTTTCGTTCATACAAAGTACGTACGTACAATAGGTGTACATTGGTGTCCCTTTCAAATCTAAAGGCTTGCGTGTATATACTTATATGCTTTATGCACGGACTAATGCACGGATGCACTTTCATTGCATGCTTCGTTTATGCGTCACAATTACACCCTATCATCTATGCGTATCGTTGTGTGTAAAGACCGCCCGATAGATATACATGTATTATTTCTTATATATATTTACATATATGCATACATACACATACATATACATTGGAACAAACATATTATACACTCTTATGCATGTCTACTGATGCTGCTGCTGCTTTTGTTGTTTTCTTAGTATGCATGTATATATGTATGTATACTAACTTATCTAAGTAGAAGATTTTTATGTACATATACATATCCATATACATATAGATCATACAGACGATTACGTATATGTACTCGCGTCTACATACTCACTTACATTTAATGTACATACCTGTATACAAAGAGACATGAACGAATTAGTAGATAAAAGTTTAAAGCCAAATGCATGTGTCGACACGAGACAGCGTGCACGCGAACGATTAGGTGATGACGTTTAACGGAAGTATATATATATATATATACGAGACGCGATAGAATAAAATAAATTTAATAATTTAGAGAAAGAAGAAAGAGAGGAAAAAGAAGTACCATTTATAAAAGTTTACGAGAGTTATCGCGAAAGTACAAGAATTAACTTTTCTTTATTTTATTATTGCAATTACATTTTTTTAAGTGTGAATTACAATATAAATGTGCTCACCTAAATTTATTTCTCCTTTTTTTCTATCTTTATCTCTCTCTCTCTCTCTCTCTCTCTCTCTCTCTCTCTCTCTCTCTCTTTCTTTCTTATAAATACATAAATGTATTATATGTAAACGATGTTTCCGCGTAAAATCAATTTCGAAATAGAATCAGATATTGAATATTTTCTCCAAAATTGTAAAATGTATGAGAGTGAGAGAGAAAGAGAGAGAGAAAGAGGTATATAGAGCTTTTTAATCTAATATAAAATTTCCGAACTTGCATTATGCATCGTGTGCCAACTAACCCATTTTATTAGTGCTGCGTGTTAAGTCGATAATCTGTTAGGGTGAAACGATATCGTGTGTCATTTTTATTTAACGTTGAGTGGGTCGATTAATCATAATCGTTTTAACCTTTTCTATGCTCTATCTTTTTCTTACGTACTATCTTTATCTTTAATAAGAAAACGTTAAGCAATACTCTCATCAGATAGAGCACGATCAAGTTCTAATAAAAATTGTATACTTTTTTTCGAAAACTATTTCAATATTGTCACAAAGTTAAAAAAAAAATCTTATTCGATATATTTGTCTCAAGTTGGATTTGTATTAAAATAAAAAAATTATTAATAACTAAAAAAAAGCAGGTATATCTAAGAGACAAGAAGTTACACGTGTTCATTAAAACTTTCTGTTAGTTGAAAACTTTGAAATTATACATGTAAACGTGACGCTAGTCGTTTCGTAAAAATTGAACACGTTATAAGGCTAATTCTACTATAAATTTACTTTTGTAAAATAAATGTTCGTAAATTTCGATAATAATTAAGCAAACATTTTGATATTACTTTTTTTTTTATTTAATAGAATTAATTTATTATAATTTATCGAATAAAATGAAATTGTAAATCGTAATGTAAAATATAACGACGAAAACAAACGCATTCCTCTTAAAATACGTATTTGAATTTCAATTTAACACACAAACTCGTATTTAATAATTAGAGAATCCCAACAAAATCCCGATGCGATAAAATACGTTTCAACGTGTTGGTGATTTATCCAAAAGCAAGCCGAAAACTTGTAAATTAATTGTAAAACAAACCAATGACTGGTCAGGGTAACTCGAGCGTAACTCATTTGTACTATGAGAAAATTTCTAATAAATTAGATATTTATAATACGTATTAAATTCTAATCATTTATAAAAAATATATCCCAATTGTAAAAAGTAACTAAATAAATATTACGATGAAAATATGTCGAAGATAATTAAAAAAAATGTTCGATTCGTAATATCTGGAACTGAATGAGAAGAATATTTTCACAATCGAGAGAAAGTAATTCAAAAGAAAATGAACTTTCCACGGTGAATCCTTATAAACTATGCAAATGCTATTTTAATCGGAATCTTGAGAATTCCCATTGTAATTTGTAGATCGTGCGATAGTCGAAGTGAGTTGAATTCCACGCTTTAAATAGTTTCTCATCACCATCGTGATAATGCGAAGTAATGGAGTATAAACTTATCGTGCCGCTATCAGTGGTCTAATAACGTCTAAATTCATTCAATAATAATCACATGCAATAGACTGAGGATTATATTATACATATCCTTTTTAACATATGCGCACACACACACACACACACACAAACAGAATCTCATATATGATAATTATATATTATATATTATATTATATATTAATCTAACCGTCCTGTTAATCTGTTTTTTCATTTTACCTTTTTTACAAGCACATCATTCCTCGTTTATAAGACATTCAGAAGGATCTCTTCGGTCCGATCATTTACCAACCCCCTTCGTACTCTAATAATCGATCCTGTTTTTTTATTCTTTATCCACCCTTCTTGTAGAAGTAAACAACTAAAGAAGGGGTCCTTTAAGGAAAAGATAATTTATTTGCCTTCATTTTACCGTATTGCGATCACGGATTTGGCTAATGAAACTATTTGAAAAAAAAATAAAAGAAAAAAAGGAAGAATGATGAAGAGACAGAAGACAGACTGGCAGACAGACAAACAGACTAAAAAATACAAAAAAATAAAAAAGAAAGAAAAAGTACGAAAGGAATTGGAGCGATCTCAAAGGCAGACTTGTTAAGAATAATTGGAGTGAGAAAGGATTCGAATTCAAAGTTACATGTCTGCTATTCCGCGAAAGCCCTTCAAGTTAAAGAGAGCAAAAGGGTGATATCCTCCCAACGACACGCGACTTAACCACACAGCATCGCATTCTACTTTGGTGATAGCCCGTGTTTGCTCTTGGATTTGATTATCTTGGCTGGCAACGTTGCGCAACCCAAGTATAGACGTATATAAACGTATTTAACAAACATCCGTAGCATGCAAGCAAACACGTTGAAGAAAGAAAAAAAAGAACACATCCTTTCGAATTTTTTTAGTTATCCTTTCATTTTTACCCCTCGACAGTTTGGTAAAAAAAGAAAAGAAAAGAAAACGAAGAGATAATTTTGCATATCGATCGTTCGCAATCTTTCGATAAAACGTTCGAAAATAACTTGAAAATAGACGTTAAGCATCGATAAATTCACCTTGGTTAGTTGTAATAGCAACAGAACTATAGTAAACATGGTCCCGTTTTTCCATTACGAACTATACAACTATCGATGAGTTTTCATTAACGTGTTCGTTCTATCGTAGGTTTAGAAATTTCGCGCTCCGATTCTATACTCTCTATTATCGGACAATGCAAGGATATAAACGTCGAGATTCTATCCTTTCCTCTTTACTTTACTTTCAACTTTCAAGATTGTTTGGCATTTGAGAATAAAAACAACAAAACGAAAACTAAAATTGACACGATAACGTTTAATTCTTATTGATTACGAACTTTTTTTTAGAATTCACGAAAAGATATGAACTTTTAAACGCAATATTATTTTTTCGTCGACGTGCATTTTCTTTCTTTCTTTCTTACTTTCGTTTCAACTGACTTTCCTTGATCGCGAATCCGGTTAATACGTGTTTCGTTATTTTTAGTTAGCTATTATAAGACTGTACTGCTCGCGATAATTTGTTGGAAGGAAGTTACTATAACGTTAACATAAGTTGAATATCATAGTTATCATCATCAACGCATATAATACATGTGGCTTTTTCTATCGAGTAGGAGATAAAGGTCGATAGAAATAATAATAATAAAAAAAAAGTCTTTGGGAATTTTCATCGCCCACCATCGAGATAAATATCAATTACGTTACTTACTTTCTTAAGTTTCTTTACGTTTAATTAATTAGTCTCTCGTTAAATCAATCAACCGATCATCCGTTCAAGAAAGAAAATTACCTTTTTTTAAGATGACACCTGTCGTCTCTTTATCTCCCTCTCACTTTCTCTCGTTAAATCGTTATTCCACTATCGCCTGTTGCTTTCAAAGTTTCTAGTCACTCTACATACAGTATATAAAGTAGTGGTGTTAGCTACGAGTAGTTAAATATCATCGTGCTCGTTTACCCTGCAAAACCGAACAAGTATCGTCTTAAGAAACCACAAGATTTTCCTATCCCCACCCCCACCCCACGTTTCACTTTAAACGCCCCCGTCACTAAAACTTATCATTGACTTTAAACGATTTTCGATATTCTACAAAACTCTTTACTTAGATCTAGACTAATTATTACAACTATATAATATCTTCAAATTGGTATCATTAATTATGCAAGTCAATTAATAATGAATTTAAAAAGAATAAAAATATTATCAATTAATTTTATGATTTATCTTACATTTGTTTTTATTCTTCTTCTTTTTACGAGTTAGAATTATTTAATTTTAAGCAAATTTTTTAAAAATATTTTAACTCACGTTGTGTCAAAGAAGAAGTCGCGATTTATTTTCTATATTAAAATTAATTAATTATATTAAATCCTATATTAATATATAATAAAATATTAAAATAATATTAAATTCTAATTATAATTTATTTTATATTAAATATAAATTACTTATATAAAATGTAATTAATTAATTAAATTATATTAAAATTATATAAATATAAATTAATTAAAATAAATTTAATTAATTAAATTATATTAAAAATTAATTTATATCAATTTTATATTAATTGCATAATTATTGATTCATAATAAAACTACTATCATAATTACTCTCTCTCTCTTTATATTTTCTCATACTAATTAAAAATAATATCAATATCTTGAATAATTATAAGAAAAAAACATAGTCTGACAAAAAAATGTATACTTTCTTCTTTAAATGTCATCGGGTGAAAAGAAAAGAGAAAAAAATCAGAAATTTGCACGGTATAGTTTTCAATCGTCGTTCTTTCGTTCCTTTATCGAATCTCTTGAACCCTTATACAGCCCATATTTTCGTCCTCGTTCCGTCATCTCGTTAAACCCTTAATGACCTTTGACGACGATCGACTCTCATGGATAAGAGATTAGAAAAAAAGCGACTTTCACGTCGAAATTAATCCGCCGTTATGAACGGAACCCCGAATCGTTCGAACGTGACTGCGCGTATTATTACAAGACAAAGAAATAGAAAGAGAGAGAAAGAAAAAAAAAAGCATCGAATTTAACGAGAGAATATCGTCCGAGTGATATCGTTCGATATAATCAACGATGACGAAGAACTAAAGTTAACGACCCCGTCCTTTTTATTATTCTAATATTTTTAATTTACATTGCACATACAAGAATATAAACCCTAGTAGTACAAAATATTGAAAAATATTGAATACATGTGTATTTAATATTAATAAGACAAATCTTTTTTTAATATTAAATCTTAATATTTCTTAATATTTAATATTAAATATTTTAATATTTTAATTATATATTATTATTTTTTAATATTCAATATTTTTCAATATTTTGTGCTACTAGGGAATATGAAAAATCGTGTCTAGACGATTTTACGATAAAATATTTAAAAAATCATTCGACGATCAATATGAAGTCGTTAGAAATAGATAAAAGAAAAAAAATAACCCCTTCCTCCTCCCCAAGATTATCTAATCGTAATATATAGAACACGTATAGATGGATGAAAGTAGATAAATGTTACATCAATTAGATTGAGATAAGAGGGGATGCATATAGAAACAGACATAATGTATTCAGTCATATTAATATATGTATGTATATATGTATGTATGTAATATGTATGTAAAAATAGATCAATCGGAAAGACGTATATAAAGAAAATTAGTGACAAGAGATGACACACACACACACACAGCGTTACAATAATATATGTGTGTATTTATAATAAAATCTATAACCACACTCATATACAGAATTAATTCAGCGATATAGTACAAGACAACGTTGTTGTACGTTCACGTTTAACACTGAAATATCTTTCTTATTATGTCGCGATGATAAAAATAATTTAAACAAAATATTTATATTATGTTACGAGAGTAATTCCGAATAATTAAATCCGCGCGTCTTTTTTCTTTAATTATTTTATAAAAACAATATTATGCATTTTATAATTATTTTATCGAATAATGTGCAGTACAGAGAATGTTAACGAAAATTATTCGGTAAAATAATATATTATATTATTATTATATTATATAATAATATTATATAATTATATAATAATTATATTATATCGTTAGTATAAAATTTATTTAGAAAAATATCTCAAAAATTTTTCGAAACAATTTTCAATACGTTTTATTTCTTTTCGAATGTTCCGAAAAATTAAGAAAAATATTTCAAGAAAAAAAAAAAGAAAAAAACAAATATATATATATAGATAGACAGATAGATAGATATATAGACAGATAGATAGATAGATAGATAGATAGATAGATAGATAGATAGATAGATAGATAGATATGTAGATATAGATATAGAAATCGAGAGTAAATAAACTAGAACACATCATCGATTTCGTGCATCGAAAAAAATAAAAAATAAAGAAAAAAATAACCCCTTCCAAATCTGAGACAGGTCTCGTCTTGCAGACTTTGCAATCGAAAAAGAAGAGAATTGAAAGAGAGACGATACAGATTCTTTTTTCTACTTTTCTTTCTTTCTTTTTTGCGTTTTTTCTCCATTTATCGAATGGACAAGAACGACGAAGCGAACGATCGATTCACGAACGAATCCGCTCAGAATCTCGTCCTTTCTTCCTTAGAACGTCAGAAATCATAATCCTTGTGCCATGTTATTACGTGGAACCGCACACGAAGACCATAAGAGAACCGATACTCGTTTCATTCAAAAGAAGACTCAACCATTTATGAAACAACTATAGTATGTTAGGTCAAGGAACAATTTTTTTTTTCACATATACAACCAAAAGAAAAAAAAACAATTTTATTTTAACCAATTAACCGACAGACTTGATTGACAGGTCAATTCAAAACTATTTTTTATTTTTGGTACATTTGATACGTGTATACTCGTCGTGTAAAATAAAATATTACCATTTATTACGAAAATATTTCTAATTTCAATGAGAAATAATAAAAATGTCATTTTGATGTTTATTTTACCTTCGTAATTATTTAATTAAATTTGTTATGTATTTGCATCTTTCGTTTCATCCGTTAAATTTATTATTTTTAAATTGGTATATTAAATTTATTTTTTAATAAAATAAAAATGTAATCCTTTCTCGTTTTTTCTTGACCTTTTTGCGGACTAATAAAAACATTAGTCCTCGATTAGACATTTATACTCGTTCTTTGCACGATTTGAATTACTCATTCCATTTGAGAAATTTGATAAAAATAAATTTTACTATTAACTGGTTTAAACAAATAATACTCGAGTCTGATCGATGCTGCGCAAAATTAGTCGTTTAATTTATCCACACTTATTTGTTCATTTCAACGACGAGTTTTACAAAAAAAAAATGTAACCTAACATCGTGGCATAATCTGACTGACTGAAATAAGCTGAGCAGCACGTTGAAATAAAATCATTCGACGCTTCGCACACACAAATGACTTTTTATTTATCCCGTAGTAAATGGAAAATAAAAAAAAAACGAAAAGAGAAAAAAAACGCAAAAAAGAAAAAAAGTAAAGGAAACGAGATAGCGTTGAAAATAAAATGGAGAAAATATTGATCGGTGGTTGGTTTGAAGATAAGCGTAAAGTCGTCATTCGGTCTGGACATATGTACATATTTCTAGACGTGTATGGACGTCTCGATGGCATATCCATTCGCTGGACGTTAAAAAAATTCGAAAATTCGAATAATATTTTTTTTTGTGAGCAAACGACGTAACACGAACAGGAATGTGCCCATTGTCCGTCAGGCAGCATGCTTTATTAAAACACTACAATCACAGCCGCAATAACGGTCTTGCGAAGATATATATATATATATATATAAAATTAATCACACAAGAGTATTCGTATCACACCTAGTGTCAATCAATATTATCTTGTAATACGATATTTCCAAATTCTTATTAAACCAAAAAATATATTTTAGGATTATTATAATTTCAAATTAATATCAATTTTATTGCAATAAAATATTTAATTGTTATAGAAATATAATATTTTCTCAAATAATCAAACATTAATTCTCGCAATAAAATTACATATCTAATATATACAATTAAATACATAATTAAATATCTAATACTAAAATTAAATATATATATATATGTTATAATTTAAAAAATTATAATAATCCTAATATAGAATTTTTCCATATAAGAATAAGGAAACTTTGTATTACAAGTTAATATCAATTATGTCAAATTTGCAATGGTAGTGGTTAGGAATACTTCTGTGACATTTACATATACGTATTCATATCATACACTTTATCTGTCTATGTAAGTATGTATGTATATAATATAATTGTTTCTATTAAACGATTATGTAGATATGGATGCATGTGTATATATAT